ATAAATAAAAATAGTAGGTAATCATAGTCGTGGTAGTTATTTACTATATATTTAACCCAAATGCTCAGACAGAAGTACTCTTTCTCAATGATAGATTTGAATTAACCGCGTATTGAGAAAATATTGAGATAATATATCCAAAATGTCTTGTATAAATTTACAATTACTTACTACATTTTGTTATATATCACCTTCATTATGACAATGATTAGCAAACTGATAAACTATTGTCCACTTTTCCACTCAACTATTTTCTTAGTTCTGGTGAAAGGGATGTAATATAATTGATTGAAATAGAAAGTATTACCTGCCAAAAGTAACGCTGTTGGCAATGTAAAATCAACATCCCTGTGTACATCACCATAGCAACAACTTAAAACCACAAGATCTGCCTTTAATTTGATACTCATGATATCTTTAACTCCTATTTGATATTGGTCTTCATTATAGCTGCCATCTTCTGTAGGTTCACTAGTTGGATTTGGACTAAATACCAAGACATTGTCCTCCCATGAACCATATGTAGCTGTAAACAACAATAACATGACATTGAACTGACAAGGCCAACAAAAAATCTGTTTCTTGTCCAAAGTTTCTAGAAAAATTGTGCTGCAGTAATGTTTTTTAAGGAAACATCAATAACATATCATTGAACTGACTAGGCCAACAGCAAATCTGTTTCTTGTCCAAAGTTTCTAAAAAATGGTATAGTAATTTTTTTTTATGAAACATCAATATATAGCTAGCACATTACCTCCTTTTTTATGTTCCAATAATGTCTTCATATGAACTATATTGTAGGCAGTATAATTATTTTTTATAATATTTATGATTACTCACCAATATGAACTAGTGTTGCCTGTGTCAGTTCATTCAAGATATGTCCTTTGTTAGCAGCAGACCCAACTATGGCTTCAGTCTCTAAATATTCTGCTACATTATAGGCTTCACACTGTGATACAATTAATTCACCAGCAGGGTGCCATACCTAGATACCAATAAATAAAGTGTAAATCACAAATACAGTATAACCACAGTCGCTGGCGTACAAGTGATAACAAAACAAATGTGATTAATTTACCAATATTTACTCTACTATAGGGGGAGGCCATCTTTTATATGACTAATCTGACAAAAAGACACGATGAGAAAAAACAGGTTTTCCCATTTCTGACAAATCAGAGAAAAAACTTTCACAGCCAAACGATGGATGGGGTAACAGTAAGCCATCTACTAATAAAATTAGACTTTTTAAACACTTTCTTGGGGCATTTGAAACCCAAATCCAATATGTAAGGCCATCACTAACTGGCTCCTGAAATGGATAACAAGTTTCAAGCCGTATTCAAGATGGTTGCCCCCATATCGTAAATATCAGTAAATTAATCACATATATTTTATCACTTGTACACCAGCTGACATAAGAATACTGGTAGTGTGTAGTGATAAAACTGATTCTTACCTGCTCATGTAGTTTGAGTTTGTTTGGTAATGATGGGTTTCCAATAACCAATGACCTATGCTGATGACTGTCTTGCTTATATTCTATCGCGGTCCCCTCACCTCTCACAACTTCTATACCAGTTGATGCGCTCGTTATCAGCGTGCCAAGTTTACTTTTGTTTTGTGCTACAATTAGTTTTTCACGATCCTTTTTATCTTCTGGTGTAGGCACACAGTCGTGATAGTTTTTACCAAAAGCTATGAAGCTCGGTGTAGAGCTTTTCTCCCTAGCCATTAAAGGAGCACTTCTTTGTGTTGTCCGAAGTGGACTAAACGGACATTCATCTGGTGGGACCACCACACGCAGGTGATCATCCAAGTAAACAGGGAAGAAATCAGTATACTCAAAGTTTGACTTGTCAGGTTTAGTACTGTCAGTTTTGTTGGCTATCAAAGTTTGTACAGAGAGACTTGGTACACTGATGATGTTAAATTTCTCACTCATATGTGTATCGTTGTCATCTTGTAATGCATCCATAGGAACTTGACAGATCTCTTTATCTGCAATAATCAGCAGGTCTTTCACATCTATAAGCATCTTTTCTATAGGAGCTACTAGAAGGTCATACAATATTTTCTGTGGTCTTCCTCCAGTATCTTGTCTCTTAACTTCTTCTCTGTTTTCCCTTGTTTTCCATTCTGTAGACTTAGCAAGGTTCTTTTTCTGCAAGTGTGTTACTTTTCTGTTTTTTGATGGTAGGGCTCTCTTTTCGCAATCTAGGTCCGCTTTACTGTTATCTAGTTTTTGTAACAGCTCAAGAGCCTTTCTAACTTTGTGGCGAAAGCTGTCGCTTCCAATAGATTTCTCCACCTGTGCTCGGACTACACCCTCACCTGGTTTTAATACCCAAATGAGAAGACATGGATCCGTGATGGAATAATATAACACAGTGCACTTTTGTTTATTAACAATCTTACACAACTCATCCCTGGATGGTAAACTGATGGTCTCACGCTGCTTTTCAGAATCTTCGACATTTGCAGTGTTCAGTTTATGTTTCAATATCTGCTGTAATCTTCGTTTCCGAAACGATTCTGCGTATTCCAGAGCGGCATCTGGTTGATCGAGTTTACAGAGAGCGATTTGCATTCCATCATAACACATCTGAAGCCTTGTAGTCAGCTCATTCGGACATTCAATGTTCTCATCTTCGTACAGTTGTATCTGTTTACTGTATACAGGAATTAAATCCATGAACATTGACTTGGATTTTTCCATGTCATCTTTGAGTATAGACATTGTGAAAGCAAAAGCAACTTCACATCGACACTGGTTAACAAGTTCTTCATTGTTTTCAAGCTTGTTGGCCAATGTCAATGCCATTTCATAATAATACTGAGCATGTTGATATCTACCTTGGCACTTGAAAATATCAGCTACTTTCAAAAATGCTCTACATTCAGTGACAAATTCTTCTAATCTTCGACTCATTCGTAAATACTGCTCAAAAAAGGACAGCGCCTTATCATAGTCTTCTTTAGCTTGAAAGAGTTCCCCTAGAAAACACAGTGCTTTGGCTTGCCCGTCATAGTCCTTTGTTTTCTGAGACATATGTAAATACTGCTCTAAGTAAGACTCAGATAATTTAAAGTTACAAACAATCTTATAAACATTTCCCAGAGATGCATATGCCTTCGCCATTCCAATCTTGTCCCCTTGGGTTTTGCAAAGATCTAGATATGTTTTGTAATTACTCAGAGCTGCTGTATAGTCCTTCACCATGTCGTAGTAAGTGGCAAGGTTGTAATGAGCCATGGGCAAGGCACTTTCCGCTTCTTTGTTATTCTGTACAAGTTTCAAGTATATCATAGAATGGTGCAAAGCTTGCGGAAAATTATGTATCTCTCTGTACGCGATGCTAAGATTTTCGTGAATTCCACACTGCAGTGCAAGTGACCAGTATTCAGGAAAACTACCATCTTCATGATTCTTTTTCAGATCTCGTCCAATGGAGAACAGTTTCTCAAAATACACGATAGCTTGTTGAGTGTTGTTTTCAAGTAAATAAATATTGGCTAAATTCACATAGCATTTGGATTCAATTTCTGGATCTTTCTCTGTCATAGCTGTTTTAAGGCATTCTTGGAATGTATTCTTAGACACAGTAATTTCTTTGAGTGATAGGTGGGCACTACCCAAGGTGAGCAATGACATCATGGTACACTGTTTTTGTTGTGGTTCCATTTTAAGTACTCTTGTTAAGACTTCAATACAGGCATCATGGTAGTTTTCTTTGTATAACTGTATTCCAACTTCAGACAGTTTCTGTACAGGGACCATCTCTGTGAATTACATGAAACATACCTTACTAGACATGTACTGTAAAATACTTTATTTTCGTTTCAAATTAATTTTCTCTAATTTCGCTGAAGAAATGATTCAGTCAAAATAAAATCCTGCGAATATATACTATTTCTCTTTTATTTTACATTCAACTCGTCAAAAGTCAGTGAAAATAAATTCCATACAAAATACTCTAAAATTAGCAAAAATTAATTCCAGCTAAAATAAAGTATTTTACAGTACCCTAATAATGAAAGTAAGTTGACATGACATGGGTGAATCATGCATGTGACCTGAGTGGAACACTCATCGAACATGACAGTATTTGCATGTTTTCACAGTGGCATCCCATAAATCTGAGTGAAGTACACCTGCAGAATTAACATTCCTCCCAGGTAATCGTGATACATGATAATGCTTGCATGTTCCACTGGTGTTACACTCTAAATACACTTGCGAAAACGTATGATATAATATTATTGGGCCAACATACTAGTACAATCTTAGAATGAATCCCTGTCATGTACTGTAAAACCATTCACTATAATTTTGAACAATTCACTGGAATTGAGCAGATCACAAATTTGCCAATGAGTTCTATTGTTATTATACTTGTTCAAATGCCTATAACTTAGCATTTGTTTACTTACCGGTAATAGCAAAAGTAGCGAAATTAAACCCAATGAATAATAAATGCATTAATTTTACATCATGACAAGAGTTTGAATCTATAATTTATTAGATTTTATATTTGTTACATGTGCTTAACAATCACCAGATATCAAGTTTCAAAATGATAAAGAAATTGTGCATTTACAGAATTACGCTAAGGCCTGATAAAAGAAAATCCATATATGGTCATGTGATAAATTTCAATTTTGGGCATACCTTCAAAGTCCTTGAGAACACTATCTGAAAAGTTACATAAGTTAGATGCCACTACAGCTATATTGTCAACAAGTTGGTCTTCGTGTTGTGTATCATGGTCAAGGGCATGAAGGAATGAGGTGATAGCTTTGTCATATTTATTCTGGTTGTCCAAAGATACCGCCAGTAGATAATGTCCCTAAAGTTAAATAAAAAAAATGTTCATTATGAAGTGCATCAATCTACAACTCAACAAGCCATGCATGGCACAGTCCATATTAGTTAGCAAATTTAAGATATAATTTTGTTTATAGTAATATAGTTTGAACGTAACCATGAGAGACATGAATCCAAAAGCTGATGCTTGATTAAGAAGATTTTTTACCATTAAAATGATTGACATTCAGTCATCTTGTATCTGATTGACAAATGAGTACTTGTCCATAATGAGAGATATTGCACTGGAACAGCATTAATTGAAAAAAAATGGCCACTAGTCAGCCATTTTGAATCTGATCTGGTGAACAAAATAATGTGCATCAATGTCCCATAATCTCCAATATATGCACCAAGTTTGAACAAAATCCACCTGTAAACAGATGAGATCCAGTTTTGTTTCTTATACCACATCATGACCTACACCTCACTACATCTGATTGGCAGCTAAGAAACAACTGCTGAATTATTGTTAAATTCTTACCTGTGGTATTAATGGATCCACCTTCACTAATATCTCTGCATCTTTCTGTGCCATCTCATATTGCTTAGTTTCCATATAGACAGCAGCTCTAGCACTCAAGATATCAGTGTTACTGCCATCAATTTCAAGTGCTTCACTGTAACATTTGATGGCTTCCACATAGTCCTTGTCTCCAAAAGCCCTATCTCCTTGGTTACGGAATTCTATCACCTAAAATGATAGATTATAAATATTTAGAAAATTCAATTCAAACTAAAGCAAGAAGTTTCTACTGAATAACAGGAATGTTCTGTGCTCATTGATTGGCTGGTTTGATTCAACTGCCTTTGAAATTTATAAAGATGAATAGAATGCTTTTGTTGCACTGAGAGTACATGTAAGTACTGGTTTTAAAAAATAATTATGTAATAATTATGTGATAATTATAAACCATCATAAAAATGACAAAAATATTCGCTAAAATGGTCTAGCCTGGAAGGTACATACTGGTACTTACATGTACCAAATATTAAACAATTGGAATTTGTTATTAAGAAGTCACAAACATAATTTTTTACTAACATTGTCAAATTCTATATATCTACATATCATGAACCATAGCAATCAGGCTAGCAGTTTTCAAGAAAATAAAATTAACAATTTTGACTTAAAAGCATGCAAATATTTATTAAAAATAGAAAACAGCAGATATCTTCAGAAAATAAATCACACCAATAAAGTAAATATTGAAGCAATCTGAATAGCGGTTTTCAAGAAGAAATGTCATTTTAATATGAAAAGTTGATGCTTGACAACAATAATCACATGAGCTCTGAATCATCATTCAGCTGACCTAACATAATTATAATTTTGTTCCCAATAATTAAATAATTTAATATAATCCAGTGGAGAAAAGAAAGACGGACAATCTACAAGATAAAATGTATGGGAGAAGAATTTGAGATCAGAGTCACTGGGGACATCCATTCCAGTGGTTCTGATGCTCCTTGAACATCAATAGGTGATTTCCCGTACAATTGCAAGATCTCGCGAGATGCATGAAAGATGCGCGTCGAACAACTGCGGCAAAAATCGAATGATTTGATTTTGAACTTGAATTTCTTTATTTCGTAGCTCACATCGACCAGCTGATCTTCGACAGAGGAATATTGCTTCCGAATACCCTTACTTAATCAAAATTGTTTATCATCAAATGTGGGCAGCACATTATTAAGCATGGAAATGTACCCCAAATTACTTTTGCGTTTGTCGAATCCACGTGATGTTTGACGCCACTACGACGCTATGACCTTTGTTTGTCCTGTTTTTACGTTCGATTTCAGGTATAATGCGTGATTCTCGCAGTGAACGGAAATGGTCTATTATTTGCTGGGATTTTTTCAATAATTTTGGGCAAGGGTCTAGCCTGACATGTAGGTGTGAGTGGCGCACTCGCGGACCGAACAGCATCAGACCCCACTAACGCCTGACAAAATAGTGTATGTCTCGTCGGCAAAATCAATACTGTAAATTTGCAAAGTTCATGACTTCTTGCGATAATTTTCAGGGAATATTCATTTTGGTGGTCATGGTAACACTGTCAATCAAAGCGGCATTGTCAACAAAAATCACCTTCTGTTTTCATCAAGATGATAAACATTGAGCGAAAATAAACTCTGCTGTGAATGGTTACTTTTTGATGGCTGTCACTATCTGATGTTCCGGCAATTTGATTGGTATCAACAAAAAACCATTTGGGAAAAAGTACATCGTACTGTCAGACATGTGTTGGGTTGGAGCATCGCGGAGGGTGCAACTCATGTGACCTTGTCAGGCAAGCAAAGGGCCTACGTGTTTTTAGTTAAATTTACATATTTCACACACAAAATATAGCAAATAATTAGAAACGTCCCATGACGCAAGTTGCCAATATGACAAAATGTCTTAAGTCACATGTTGAGTCAAGTGTACCCCTTTCATTCCCTTATTGCTGCAGATTAACGATTCAAGAATCATGTGTGGTTGCGGAACTAAATATTCAGAAAAAATACATACTGTAGAATACTTTATTTTCGCTTGGAATTTATTTTCGCTGAAGGGATGATTCTGTGAAAATAAAATCCAGCGAATATACTTTTTCTTCTATATTTCACATTAAACTAATCAAAAATCAGTAAATATAAATTCCATACAAAACACCCAAAAAGCGTTTTCAGTGAAAATTAATTCCAGCGAAAATAAAGTATTCCACAGTAAGTCAATCCATTTTTTTGTTTTCAGCAAAAATTAAATTGCACCTAACAGCAATGGGAAAGAAGAAATGATAACTGGTGATGTAAAGAAAGTTATAAATGTACAAATGAATAGAAAGAAATTACTGGATGAAATAAACTAATTTTACTTACACTCTGTATTTCTTCATTTTCACTGATTGGTTCACTGCCTTCAGTTATGCTATACAAACTACCAACACTCAGACTCCGTACTTTATTGGGAGCAGGAGGTGATATAGGAAAGGCCATCGTCTTAACTCTGTCACAGATTGAACAAATAATATAAATTACTAAAACAATAATGGTTTTATATTCATTGCTATTATATCGTAGATCTGTTAGTATTACGTAACTACAAGATTATGTAAAAATGCACTGTTTCTGTTTTGCTATCACAGATATTTTGTTAACCTTCACACCACCAGTTCCCTCTTTTCATCACAAAATTCACAAAATAGTTCCGTATATACTGTGCACTTTGCTTCAGAAGATTGAGACAACTGGTAGTGAAAAAGGTTAAAGTTAATATCTTGTCGACTCCATTTTAATTGTGGTTCTTTGTCAAAATAATTATTACAATATAACCGGGAATAACTTTGTTGCTAATATTGATAATGATCAGAATGTGCCATTGTTATTTTTTTTTACATTTTTACATAACGCTGGGATCAAAAAATAACACAGGGTCAAAATATATAGAATAAAACAATACAACACCAAAGATATTACATGTACTACAGTTGCGCATACATGACAATAATTATTATTATTATACATCTGTCACCGCAATGCCATAACTTACAGCAGGTCGTAATTTTGCGGCATTGCACTGGGTATTTTCATCCTGCCATATTAGGAAATGTGAATTCCAAATATGGAACGATTACATGCGTGAGCATTCTCTAATAATAAAAACAAACATGGCAGCCCCCAGGGTTTGACCGGACTTCACATAAAGAAGTTCGCTGATTCTGTTCTAAACTTTTTGGATTTAGGCATTCCCATGATGTATCCTTGGAAGGAAAAGATGTACAATAATAAGGTTATTATGAAGATATGCACTCAGACAGTATGCATTGCATTGTCAATATTCCTGTTATACTGTCAAAATTCCCGCTATATTGTACTGTTTTCGGTATTCTCGTAATAACATCATATTATTATTATGTTACTCTATATGGTAATGAACAAACGCCGCATCAAATACATTTTGTAGTTGTGGCAACAAATTTAGACCACTAATCCAATCAGGAGTGGTAAATTTGGCAAACATTTTTTTTGTACGTTATAAGGTGACACATATCCAACATTATGTTTCTTTCAAATTTATTTTATATACACATTTATGTGCATTGCATATTTTTTTTTGTATGTTATATTTTATAAATAAATTATAAATAAATTATAAAATAAATAAATTATATTTCGGATAGAAGCAAATTCAGTAATTTTTGCAGTCTTCTAAATTTGTTTTAAAGAATCAAAACCATTACTTATATCATTCGTTTTTTTGTTTGTTTTTGTTTTAAAAAATCTTGGTTTTTATTTTGTTGCCAGGCAACGATTTTTTTTATTCATAATTCCAAGATTCCTACACATTATGCACAGTTAGGATGCATGAGTATCTGTAGTCTGAGTACTTTCTGTCTCAGACCAGAAAAGAATTATTCTGGGGGTCAATTTGCACGACTGGCCAACGCAAAAACTGATCAGAACGCCCCCCCCCCCCCCTGTGTGAGGTCTATGGTAAGGGACCGACCAGTAAGTGTTTTTAATGGACAGTACTTAAAGATGCGGCGGAATGTAATTCAAGTTGAAGTGACAATTAGTAAAGATGCCTATGACTAGTATATAACGTTTAAAGCACAGTGCCTAGTACGATAATTGGCTCGTCTACAACAACAACAGACAGTGTAATTTTATGGACGGCCAGGACCCCAACACTGGCAACATTTCGGCTTAAACGATACGTTTGTAGAAACCACGTCAAGATATAGCATAACTTACCATCGGATGAGCTTCGAGTGAATGACGATAGTTGATTTATACACCAGAATTACTTATAGCGACGTAAATTGTCGAATTCCGGTGATTTTCCGGATAACGAGCTGGGCATTTCAACGTGCTTACGTCGACTTGAAACGCAATTTACATAACAATGTAAGTCCTTAGCAACCTACACTTGTTGCACGCATTCATTACAACTATCTTAAAGGTCCTCTAGTAAGGCGACTCATGTCGGCTGAAAAAGAGCGTTGTGTAGTCGTGCTTCATTCTCGCCGCCGAGTTTATTTGCGCTTCGAGAATCTGTGTAGGCTTGCCGTAAAAGAGGTCGAGGCAGTGGCGTACGACGATGTAGTGTTTATCTTATCCGTCTTAAAAAAGAGGGGTCCGCTAACCCATAGCGTCCAGCACCGAGGTGTAAGAACAGCAGAGACAGCGAAGCTACTTGTGGACCCCGGCCCCCCCACTCAGGATCCATAGGGGGCCGCATGCGCGTTCCCATTTTCTCGGGAAAGGGGGTACTTTTTGACGATCTGTCTCGGGAACATTTTCCCGAGAAAATCGTAGAAAAGGGGGTATTTTTTGCTTGTTTTCCCGAGATTCTCAAAATAGGGGGTGTATTTCAAAACACTTCCCGAGATATACAAAAAAGGGGGGTTTAAAAGGAGTTCTAGACTGAAAAGTTCCCTAGATAGGGGGTGAAATTCATCGGAAAAGCCCGTGAAAGGGGGGTTAAATTTTCTTCTTTTCCCTAGATAGGGGGGGTCAAAAAAATGAGGGAACAAGCATA